CACACACACAGACACAGACACACACACACACACACACACACACACAGATATTCATATTTATGAATGGGAGCATTTAACGTGATCTGTGATTGATAATGCATCACAAGCACTCAGCATCTGGGCAGGATTTCACAGCGGTTTCTGTTGAATAACAATTATAGATCATAAAGAAGGTTTGGCTGAGCTGTACGGAAGAAAACAGAGAATCACAAACTACTGGATCGGCTGTAAACTACATGTCGAGGAGCAAACATGCTTTATTCAAAAAAGATGAAAAAATAATGGAACAAAATACGGCGTCTGAAAATCTGTAAATATTTAGCTAATATTTACTCCTGTTGGAGATAGTCCTGGTTGGAGAAGTTTCTCAATTATAATGTATTTAAACTGGAATTATTGAAGCTGCATTTAATTTCATCATGTTTCTTGCCACAAAACAATCAGCTGTAAGCAATTTTAAACTACTTTTTTGCTTGAGATGGCGTCTGATGCATGTGCACATTGACCAGCAATTAGAAAAGATTGATTTAGTAGAAAGTGCATGAAAGAGCTGATGATGAACATACCATAGACGATGGAGGAGGCTTCAGGAGTCTGGTCTTCAGGCGCTCTCTTGTCCTCAGCCTCCTGCAGTTTATCCACCTGTAAGAGACGCAGAAGTCAACGGAGCAGCAAACATCACTGTCAAAGTGTCACGCTGAGTCCTTTTTATCCAAACGCCGTCCATTGAGCCGCTCATGCCCTTCACACACTCCTCAAGTCCTCCTCTGACGTCTGTTTACAGCATCATCATGCAGATGCCCAGTAATGTCACACCACATGCACACATACACTCACATTCACTTAACAATACTTTAAAACATCAATGATTTTCCCTAAGCAATGCATTATATAAATATGACTTATAAATCCCACTTAGAAAACCACAATGCAAGATCTCACATTCGTCGTATATATTTATCGTTATAATATGTGAAAAGCTAAAATAATAGCTGATTGACAATTGTAAGCATCCTACAGTGAGACTAATGAACTATTATTATTTGGCTTTTCCAGTGTTTGTTTAGCAGCTCTGTGCAGGGATATTATAATTAACTAAAACTACAACTAAATCTAAACCTAAAACCATACTTGAAATAAATGCAATCAATATATATATATAAAATAAAAAAAAATAAAAAAGCTAATTGCATTGATTATATCTGCTCTATCACATTATATAATTTAATTTATGCAATCAGAACAATATTTAGCAGGCACTAAAATATTAATAATCTCATTTAGGTTGACTGAATTAAATCTGAACAGAAAAATGTACACTAACTACAACTACTGAATAAAAAACACTAATTTATTTGAAAGCATAGTGATAAAGAGCAGCATCTGACTTAATATTTTACAATTATCCACTTGAAATAAAATAAATATTAAAAAAGCTTATTTAGCAACATTTATCATTTTCATTTAGTTTAACTTGATGTACTAAAATAACAAACTAAAATAAAAATGATAAAAAATAGACATTAAAAAATGACAACAAAAAGTAAAACTGAAATGAAAATGAAAATGAAAACAAGATATAAAAATAAACTGATTTACATTTCAGCATCTGCAGCAAATTACGTATTTTTGCTCAGTTTAAGTCTCTGAATAAAACTGAGCAGTTTTTTATTCTCACTATATCAGACTATATGAGCCATAAAAGCCTGATGGATCAAAATCTGATTCTGATAAAAGCCTGATGGATCAAATATGATGATACTCAACACAAAACACATATGCAAACTTTTTTTTTTTTTTTTTTAAGATTTTGTCTAAAGGTTCAATAACTGTTCCATTGTTCCAAAAAAAAAAAAAAAAGATTTTTCTGAATGATATTTCAGGTTACACTTTCCAGGGTTTAACGTAAGAGTGAGTTTGCTGCCTTCTGCAGGTCAATCTGATGTACTGCGTCTGACACCTGCAGGACTTACAACAGGTTATATTGAAAACCACTTGACATATGAATAATTCTCCATTTTATAATAATTAGCTTCCCTTTATGTTCTCAAAAATGCACTCACACAAACAAACAAACAAACAGGCTCATTACAGCTGCAGAGCAGTGCACTGTGGGTAATCAAGCAAACTATTCAGGAACCTGTAATGAAGGAGGGGAGCGTCTGTACTCTACATGCGCTAATATCTAATACAGAGAGAGACAGAACGGGTCAGAGACCTTCACCTGTCCGGATAATTCATCCACCTGTGGAGGACGCACAGTCAGGTCAGCTTTAATACAGCAGCTTTACATCATTTACAGCCTGCTGGAGAATTTAAAGAGGTCAAACTTTAACAATTCAAAGATGAGTTCACTACACTACAGATATTCTATCTACTCTAGCAGATGATCTCATTTGATTTGTGCAATCAGAACAATAATTATCAGGCACTAAAACATTATGAATCTCATTTAGGGTGACTGAATTAAACCTGAACAACTAATAAACTAGAAAACACTCATTTATATAAGTGTAGTGATAAACAGACTAAATATTTTACAGTTTTCCAAGAAAACAAGGCTGCATAAGCGACTCAAATGAAGATACATCTGGATAAGACTTCATAATAAGGTGCCATTTATTAATCTTTTTTAATGATAATTAATAAAAATACAATGGTTCATTGTAAGTTCATGTTAAACAGGCCCGTTAAATAATATTAACAGATATTTTAATAAAGTATTATTATTATTGAATATTAAAATATAGTTAATAAAAATATAACTGTTATATTTCCATGTCTGTCTATTAAATAATATTGACATATACAACTTTCGGTTTTAATAATGTATTAGTAAATGCTAAATTTAACAATAACTAAAAATGAGCAATGCATTTGTTACAATATTTATGAATCATTTTTAACAATATTTAATTAAAATACAACTTCATTGTTTGTTCATGTCAGAACAGGTTCATTAAAAATATTAGCAGATACAACTTTAATAAAAAAAAATGTATTATTAAATTTTGAAATTTATTATTTATAATAATAATATAATTGTAATTTACTTCTAATATAGTTAACTAATGTTAACAGACAGAACCTATTGTAAAGTGTTACCAAAATCTGATTTCAGTTTTGTGCCAACGTAAGGATAAATTCATTAACACATTATCAATATGATCTACTTGCTGTTCAGAAAATCTGAATCTGCCAGATGATCACATTTTCAATGACAAATATGTACTTAAAAAATAAAAAAATAAATCAAATTAAATCAAATTAAATAATTTGAATTATTCCTTTAAAGACACTGAAGCAAAAAGAGGTTGGAAAATAGTCACTAAATTAATTGAAAATATTTAATTAAATAAATAAATAGTCACTTAGTCACTAAATTAATTGAAAATATTTAATTAAATAAATAAATAAATAAATAAAGTCACTAAATTGAAAATATTTAAATAAATAAATAGTCACTAAATTAATTGCACATTTTTTACTTTTAATTATTAATAATGTCAGAATTAAAATTTCTGTGTGAATCATTCCTTTATACAGTAATAAAATAGTCTTAATAAATAAAAATAAATAAATAACCTTAAATAAATAAAAGAATAAAATAAAAAATAAAAAAAAATAGATAAATAAATAGTCACTAAATTAACTGCACATTTTTATTTTTAATAACGACAGAATTTAAATTTCTGTGTGAATCATTCCTTTATACACATAGTTGCAAAAAGAAGGTGGAAAATTCACTTAGTTTTTTTTTTCTTGTAAATGAAAATGATTGTTCCTGTATATGTAGTAATGGTCAGAATTGGTGCAAGAAACCTTGACTAATGTTTTAAGTGGACTTTCATTATAAGTATATGAGCAGTTTATGATGTCTGTGATCCGTGTGCTTTCATACGCACCTTGCTCAGGTACTCCCTCGTCACCTGAATGAAGTACGGCATGGCGAAGTCCACGAGGCCGTGTCTCCAGGCCAGCTCTAAGACCAGGTCAGGAGCCAGAAGATCATAGGAGCTGAAGAGACACGCGGCGAAACACTCACGCTTCCCCTCCTCAACAAACCAGCGCAGGAGATCCTGAGCCTGAGCGCCGTCCTGAGACTCGGCGGAGAACTGCATCGCTTCCTGACACACAGAGACAGACGGAGCGAGACGCAGAATGCTGGAATAAATCTGCTGAACTTTACTTTTTGTTTGGCAGAAAGAACGAGAGAACGAAAAAAAGCCATAGAGTTTTGGAACAACTTGAGGGGAAGTAAATGATGACAGCAGCAAAAAATGGGAAAATAGTCACTAATTTATTTGCACATTTTGAATGAAAATTCATTTAAAAAATGTATTAATAATATTAATAATAAATTAATAATATGGAATAAGGAATAAATAAATAAACAAACAGTAAATTAAATGCAAATTGAGTTGAAAAGTCACTAAATTAGTTGAATTAAATTAGAAAATGTACATAAATAAATAAATAGTCACTAATTGAAATACACATTTATAATGTTTTTTAATCAACTAATACATAAAGACAGATTTTTGATTTTTGGGTGAATTATTCCTAAATTATTCCACTAAATTAATTAAATATTTCGGTAACACTTTACAATAAGGCTCCACTAGTTAATGTATTAGCTAACATGAACAAACAATGAACAATACATTTATTACAGTATTTAGTAATCTTTGTTAATGTTAATTAAAATACAGTTGTTCATTGTTAGTTCATGTTTATTCACAGTGCATTAACTAATGTTAACAAATACAACATTTAAATTGAGTTGAAAAGTCACTAAATTAGTTGAATTAAATTAGAAAATGTACATAAATAAATAAATAGTCACTAATTGAAATACACATTTATAATGTTTTTTAATCAACTAATACATAAAGACAGATTTTTGATTTTTGGGTGAATTATTCCTAAATTATTCCACTAAATTAATTAAATATTTCGGTAACACTTTACAATAAGGCTCCACTAGTTAATGTATTAGCTAACATGAACAAACAATGAACAATACATTTATTACAGTATTTAGTAATCTTTGTTAATGTTAATTAAAATACAGTTGTTCACTGTTAGTTCATGTTTATTCACAGTGCATTAACTAATGTTAACAAATACAACATTTGATTTTAATAATGCATTAGTAAATGTTGAGACTGACATTAACGAAGATTAATAAATGCTGTAGAAGTATTGTTCATTTTTAGTTCATGTTAACTAAAGTAGTAACTAATGTTAACTAATGAACCTTATTGTAAAATGTTACCAATATTATTTATTGAAAGTAAGTAAATAAATAAATAAATAAATAGCACATTTTTATTCAGAATTCATTTAAAGAATAAAGTAATAAAAAGACTGTTTTAATTTCTGGGTGAATCATTCCTCTATACACACAGCAAAAAGAAGGTGGAAAATTCATTTTTATTTTTTTAATAATGAAAATTATTTAAAAACAATCATTTATTTACTTTTATTTAAATAAGTAAATAAATAAATAAAAATAATAAAAACCCAAAGTCTTGCAGCATTAATATGTTCTATTAAAACAATATAAATATGTATAATTAAATATATAATATAAATGTGCAGAAATAAATAAACAGATATATACAAACAAACAAACAATATGGCCACTGTAAGCAGTTATCGTGCAGCATGCATATGTTCTCATGATGCGCCTCCGTGTTTGTACCTTGTAGAGTTTGTCTTTCTTGCAGAGCTGGATGCTTTGAGCCCAGCGCTGGTTGCTCTTGTAGAGATACGCAGCGATGCGTCTGAACTCGATGAGCTCGTGTGTCTCGAGCCTCTGAGCCAAACCGATCGAGTCGAAGTTATCGTATGCATCCTGAGATACGGTTTAACCAGCCGTAACTGATTCACCTGCAAACACACAAGATCCTCATCACAGCAGTGCCATTATTATTAAATAAACTACAATTATTAAAAATCTATTTTGTTAACTGAAATAAAATAAAAATATCAGATGAAAAATGTGCAACTAACAGAAATAAAATAAATACTAAAATAATGCCACATCACTGAAATAAAATAAAATATTAGATGAAAAAGTTACATCAAAAAAGCAGAAATGTTGCTTTGGCAATTAACTGAAATAAAATACATTTAAGTTGAAGTACTAAAATTACTAAAACTAAAATAAAAATAAATTAAAGCCAAGTAGAAATATAAAAACAAAATAACAAATAAAAATGACTAAAACAAATTCAAATTAAAATAGAAAACTGGAAATATAAAACTAAAAGCTAATTAAAATTGTTATACACTATAATATAATAAAATAATGCTGCATGTTTTGGGTGGGTGTTTTACTGTTTTACATTATATATATATATATATATATATATATTTTATATATTTTTCTTAAATATATACATGCATGTGTTTGTATTTATATATACATAATCTGTATATAGTCATTGTAAGTGTTAATGTTGGCGTACCCTGCTGAAGTAGCTGACGGCTCTGCTGTGATCCAGTCGAGGAGCGAGAACAGACAGCAGATCGTTGAGCAGCAGCGGCTTATAGTCCAAATAAAACTGCAGAGATTTATAATACAGCTCCACATTCGCCACCTTA